CCATGTACAATTAACCAGAGTAAGGCTTCTATAGAGGTCTAGACTGGGACCCTCAAGCGGACAACTTGAGGGGGAAAGGCAAATGCACCGCTGATCGACTAGTTTTACTGTAAATACGCCTTTCCGAATTTAAAGGGTAATATATAGGAAGAGTGCAAACACTCATCAAGCGATGCTATAAGATTGGTTACACACGAGTGGAATATGATGTTGAGCATGATTTATGCAATAATAAATAGCATGTTGTCAAGTATTTGCACATAAGAAAATAATAAATGTAGTATTTAAATAATTGAAAGACAGTTGCAGAAAAGAAAACAAAGAGGCAAGTCAGTTTCAGGAATAAAGAATCATAAATACTTAAAAATAGATAGTTAAATTCAAAATAAGGGGAAAGGGTACATGGGATAGAGCATGCTTGGACTAATTCACAAAAAGATAAGTTCGTTATGGTAAGAGCCTGAAAATATACCCAGCAGAGTCGCCATGCTACCGCACCCCCTTATTTCCCTTTTTGACAGGGAAGTCCGGGTTTCGACATTCATGGGGGGAATAACTCGTTTCCTTTTGGGAATTTGAAGAGTCGCCACATAACAGATTATGGTGTGTTAGGGCACCTAGAGCGATTAACTCATGAACTAGTTTACATTACCAGAGATTAGGGTAAGGGCTCGAAATAACCTTGAGGGAAAGGTGTTAGGCACCCCTCGCGGTCCATGATGGTGGGTCCTGGCCGAACTTAAACTATGTGAATTAGTCATTTTACAAGTAAACAATTTCAACACATATTCGCAAATAAAGGTATGTTTTCACATTCTAAACATATGTATGTTTAGGTAACGGAAGCAAAGAAGAGGTTTGAATAACTTGCATATATATACATAAAGAAAAGGAAGTGCATTTAGAACACATAGGAATTGGGAGAGAGGGGTCCTAGGTTGGTTAGCCTACAGGATCATGCCCATGCAATGCCCANTAGTTCTAGACCATCCTAAGGTACTTAAAGGAGAAAAATCTAGGCGACAATCAAAACAATTAGGGCTGGACTAAAAGAGAACAATTAAAAACTCAAGTTTTACCTCCACAAACAGAGCGTGCAAGTGCACGTCTTACACACAATTTTAGGTATTTAAAAATAAGCTCTAGAACAGGATATCTAGGTGAGTATAGAATATGCAGTATTGAGTTAGGACCAAAGTGTCAAAGACCTATTCAGTTTGCCTACTGATTTTAGACTTGTTGAATATGAGCAGTCATAGATAATAGAGAGTAGTTTTATAGTTTGCAGAGTTTTAGTCGCCCTACAGGCTTGCCTAGGTGGGTAATAGTGATATCCTATAAGCATGGTATTTAATCATTGATCAGGAATGCAGTAAAACAGTAAACGATTTTAAATGGACAATTAAGATCCTATAGGCATGCTTTCCAGTAATGTTAACTAATACATCGTTGAAGAAATGAGTAGGTTAATTAAACCGATTTAGAAACTACAAGCATGAGTTAAAGTTAAACTGATTTTAGATCTGACCAAAATTGAGTTTAGATCCTATAGGCATGATTTCTATAATTAAAGCTAATTTAGATCCTATAGGCATGATCTCTAATTATTAAAGCTGATTTAGATCCTATAGGCATGATCTCTAATTATTAAAGCTAGTTTTAAATCCTATAGGCATGATCTCTAATTATATGAAATGGAGCAGATAGAATTTATTTCAACCAAGAAATCCTATAGGCAGGTTGTCTAATACAACACATGTAAATCACAATAACCTCTATAGGCATGTTATCTATCCAACTATACCCACAATTTACAATTACCCTCCCTTTCCACTAATCACCCCAGTATTCATTTACAATTAATTATTACAGAGAGATGATCAAATAAAATTACATAAATAGAACAGAAATTAAGCTATAGGGAGCCTGAAGTAGGACCAAAGCAATTTCCCAGCCTTCAGTAGGCTCAAATGTCCAAAGTTTCATAGCCAATTTCATGTCTAGGTGTGTTAGAGTTCCCTAAGGACCTCACGAATCCCGGGCAGTGCTCACACCTAGACCTTTCTCAAATAATGAATGATTTATGTGCAGTGTAGAAGTTCCAGCCCTGATATGCCAGAGTTCGGAGAGATATCAAGGGTCTTTAAGTAGTACACATACCAGAAGGGCAGGACTTAGTAATCTAAGAGTAAGTGAGAGTGCATAATGGTTTGAAAGAGTTTGATAGACAATATAAAGAAAGGTCTTAGGAGTGAGAAGAATTTATGAAAACCAGTATTGATTTAGTGATAAAATAGTTTGAGGAAAGTATGAAAAATAATTTGCAATCAGAACACAAGTCATAGAACAAACAAGCTTTAGGAAGTACTTTTGCAAACAACTTTCACACAAGGAAAAAGGGGTTGGGAACACAGAGAATACACCTTAATGGAGCACATAAACAACATGGTGCATAGAGTTCTTAAGGGGTTTTACAGAACTAAATAGGTTAGATATAATGCAGGTCATTGAAACATGAAGCAAAGGTCACAACAAAAACATGTTGAAAACATATAAACAACACAACTAGAGTCACTCTAGGGAGATTAGCTAACTTAGCAGGAGTAAGGCAGAACATGTAAGGACTTAAATGGACATGATAGGCAAGTATTAATAAGTGTAAGCATGGTAATTACACAAAAGCAAAGTTTTGGCATGCTAGATAAACAGTAGTCAGTCAAAAAGGCTAGTTACATATGTAAGACATGTTAAACAAGATAGCAAACAAGCGAGTAACATGAAAACATGCTAATCACATATTTAAATAAGGCAGTATTTGACATGCTAGGTAAGTAGTAAACATAAGCAGGAATGGGCTCAGTATTGATGAACTAAGGTAGTAAATAAACACATAGGTTTGGATTCTAAAATTTAATCAGAAACATACCAGTTAGAGAAAGAAAACACAAGATATGAGACATGTATTGTGCAATTTCCAGCCTTGGCTTGCAGCCGACTAGAATAACAGAGATCACAAGTAGCAGAGAGAGCAGAAAGAGCCTTTTTAGAGTGTAAAAATGGTAGTTTATGAACTATTGTTCGTGTCCAGAAGTGAGAATAGGTAAGGGCATATATAGTATCAAAGGTTAAACAAAATAAGGTAAAGAATCAATTATGTAGCAATTAGGGAAATTTACAGAATCAGACACACAAAGATTCAGCATAGTCTTCTCCTTTAATTAAGGAAAATCAGTCAACGATAATGACATGAGCTAATTAAGGCAAGGAGTTCAATCAAACTGAGTAAAGAAGTAAGAAGCAAAGGCCTTATTAAGGAAAGGCGTTCAAATCAAACCAAAATAAAGAACTTCAGAATAAAAATAGGCAAGGGTTTAATTAAGGAGAAAATCATGTAAAGAGTCAGCAAGTATTGCAGACAAAATAAGGCAAGAAAGGATCAGGATTCAACACATAGGTTTTGACGAAACAAATTGGTTAATCAAGAATCCAAAACAATACTAATTTAAGGAGAAAAATATAGGTTTACCATGAATAGCCAGAATGAATATAGACATATAGAATCAGTAGCAAAGTCGAACCAAGAACCTTAGTAGAGGCATATTAGGATAGAAAACCACAAGACATCGAAATGACAAGAACCAAAGCATAGGACAAAGTCAGTACACAAATAACTCAGAAACCAAACAAAATATCAAAAAACTTGGGGGTTTTAGCATAAACTAGTTAGGGTTACAGCAAACCTTTACGANGACAAAGTCAGTACATAAATAACTCAGAAACCAAACAAAATGTCAAAAAACTTGGGGGTTTTTAGCATAAACTAGTTAGGGTTAAAGCAAACCTTTACGAATCGGTTAAAACACATAAGAAATAGAAGATTAAACACTCAAATCATCAAACATTTTGGAGAAAGAAATTTTCGGGAAACCCTAGTTTAGAAAAAATGGAAAATCATTCGAAAATCAGACGGTTCTTGTAAAACTCATGTGAAATAGGTCCAAACCATCTCAGATCTGTACAGATCTAAGAAGTTTAGAAGGAAGAATTAGGATTTCGAGAAGAACAACATAGAGATGAAGAAGTAGGCTTAGAAATCCATAGATCTAAGGCGACATAGGAAGATCTTACTCGAAATCGAACCAGAATAGCCTGAAACAGGCAAAAAAGGGCCATAGGTGTCAGTGGACTGACCTTGGTCCCTCGAGGACCTTAGAGATGGAAATACCAACATAAGAGAGACCATTAGAGGTCTGATGGTGGTGGGAAAACACCATAAATGGCAGCAGATGAACGACAATGAGGGTGAGTTAGGGTTAGCACTTGAGAGCATTTGAAAAAAGAGGGGATCAGATGTCGGCGTGAGAGAGGAGAGGAAATGAAGGGTTTGGGGGAGGTCATTAGGTTTAACTTAGGTAAGGGTGAATCTGGATTGTTGATCAAAATAATCAACAACCAGGATTTGGCCGGGTATTAGGTCGGGCAGGTGGGTATTGGGCCTGGGGTTTCTGGGCTGGTTTATAAGGGGTTAAAATTAGGCTGGGCAATTAGGCTAAATTTGAAAATAGGGGGCCATTGGTTAAATACCCTATTTAATTGATAAAACAATTTTTAAAATAACTAATAGGCTATAAAAATGATTTTTGTGCCTGGAAATATTGTAAAATAATTACTTAATATTTTAAAAAATATAAAGGCTATTTTCAAGTAAAATAATGTAATAATGCATGCATAGACTATAGTTGCAAAGTAATTACAGTTGCATTCTAAAAATACAAATGTGGCTATTTGTGCAATAACTGAAACTTGGTACAAATGCAAATAATAGAATTAAGCCACAAAAATTATTATAAAACTATTTGTGATGCAATTAGTGATTGTTTTTTTATAAAATAAATGTTGGTAGAAATTAGTTAAAATATTTTTAAAATGCAGAAATTGTATGAAAAATACTAATTGATGCCCAGGCATAGTTCTGAAAATATTATGGGAAAAATTGGGTATCAACAATCTGCATCTGAAAAATCTTTTAAAGTAAAATTGTTAGAACGATCATACCATAATCCTAGATCAGAAGTACTAATTAGATATATAATAATTCGTTTAACAGCAGTGAGATGGGAATCCTTAGGAGCCGACTGAAATCTTGCACACTTGCATGCACTGAACATGATATCTGGTCGACTAGCAGTGAGATACAATAGGGATCCAATCATCCTTCTATACATGATTTCATCAACCTTTTTTCCATTGATGTTTTCATCGAGCATTATTGTTGGACTCATTGGAGTACCGATTGACTTTGCATTTTCCATGCCAAACTTTTTAATAAGCTTCTTAGTATACTTGGTTTGGCTAATAAAAATTCCTTTAGGAGACTGTTTGATTTGAAGTTCGAGAAAGAATGCCAGTTCTCCCATCATGCTCATTTTGAATTCTCCTTTCATGGAAAGAGCAAATTCTTCACATAAAATAGAGTTAGGACTACCAAATATAATGTCATCAACATAAATTTGAGTAATAAGATTACCTATACTAGAATGCTTAATAAATAGAGTTGCATCGATATTACCTATTTTGAACCCTTGATTTAAAAAAAAAAATTAACTTTTCATACCAGGCACGCGGAGCTTGTTTGAGACCATACAAAGCTTTAGTCAGCTTGTATACGTGATCAAGAAAGGTGACGTTTGCAAATCCTAATGGTTGCTCACATATACTTCTTCAGAGATGAGCCATTTAGGAATGCACTTTTAACATCCATTTGAAACAGCTTGAATCATTTGTGAGCAGCGAAAGCAAGTAATATTTGAATGGATTCGAGTCTTTATACAGGAGCAAAGGTTTCATCATAGTCGATTCCTTCTTGTTGGGAGTATCCTTGAGCAACCAATCTTGCTTTATTTCGAACCACTTGACTAGATTCATTCAATTTATTTTTGAATACCCATTTAGTTCCAATGATGGAGGAGTTTGAAGGTACTGGAACCAATTTACCATACTTTATTTCTTTCAAATTGATCTAGTTCCTCTTTCAAAACACTTATCCAGTGAGTATCTTTCAGAGCTTCATCCACTTTCTTTGGCCAAGTTGAGAAATAAGAGAAACATGAGATTTATTCTTCTGAGATCTTCTTGTAGTGATTCCTTCCTATGGATCTCCTATAATGAATTTGTGAGGATATCCAGTTTCGCTTTTCCATTCATTTTGAGTGTTTGAGGGAGTATCTCTTTCTACATTAGTCGACTGATCTGTTTGAGATGGTTCGTGAATTTCTACAAACTCTTCAACTGGTTGAATTTGCAGATTGGCTGACTCACTTTGATGATCCTTTCTTGTAGTGACAAATTTAGGGACAAAGGGGATTTCCTCATCTTCAGGAAGTTTTTCATTCCTTGGGCAAGAGTTAGTATCAACAAAAACAACATGAATTGATTCTTTAATGCAAAGCGTTCTTTTATTATAAACTCTATATGATCTACTTGAATGAGAGTAACCAAGAAATATACCTTCATCACTTTTAGGATCGAACTTACCCAAATTGTCCTTTCCATAGTTGTGAATAAAGCATTTGCATCCAAAAGGGTAAAAATAGCTAATATTTGGTTTCTAAACATTCCAAAATTCATACAATGTCTTTTTAAGGATTCGTCGAATCAGACACATATTGATGATACGTCATGCTGTGCTTACCGCTTCTGCCCAGAAATGGTGAGGTAGGGAGTTTTTCACAATCATGGTTCTTGCCATATCCTGTAGGGTTCTATTTGTACGCTCTACTACTCCATTTTGTTGTGTAGATCTTGGTGAAGAGAAGTTGTGAAAGATTCCTTTATCGTTGCAAAAGTTTTCAAAAGCTCTACTTTCAAATTCTCCTCCATGATCACTTCTGATAGAAGAGATGTAGTAACCTTTTTCTCGTTGAACCTTCTTATAGAAAACTTTAAAATTCTTTAGAGCATCATCTTTATGACTTAAAAACATAACCCAGGTAAATCTAGAGAAATCATCCACAATAACAAAAGTATATTTCCTACCACCTATGCTAGTAGTTCTAGTTGGACCAAATAAATCCATATGCAATAGTTGGAGAGGTTTTGAGGTGGAAACAAAATTCTTGATTTTGAAAGATGGGCGAGTTTATTTTCCTAGTTGACATGCATCACAAATATGATCCTTTGAAAAATTTAGTTTTGGAAGTCCAATAACGAGATCATATTTAGAAAACTTTTGAATAGAATGTATGCTGGCATGACCAAGTTTTCTATGCCAGACCCAGGGATCATCAATTATGGAAGCAAGACAGATTTGATCCCCAAGATTATCTAAGTTGCTAATAGTGTAGACGTTTCTATCTCTGTTACCTGAAAGAATAACTTTACCTGATTCATCTTCTATAAACCAACCATGTTTCTTAAAACAAACCTCATAGTTATTGTCACATAGTTGATTAATGTTGAGAAGATTGTAGCCAAGTTCATCAACCAGGTAGACTTCATCTACATCACATGTTGAGCTCAGAGGAACTTTATCAACACCAATTACATTTCCTTTGGATTTGTCTCCAAATGTAACTGTTCCTCCATCTAGTTTGGTGACTGTCTTGAACAATTGTTTGTCACCAATCATGTGTCTGGAACACGCACTGTCGAGATACTATTTTCCTTTTTAATTCTTCTTGCAGTGTTCCTGCAAAATAAAATTACTTATTTTTAGGTACCCAAGCTTCCTTGGGTCCTGAATGGTAAGAATGCTGAGTGTTAGATTAATTTGAAGATTTAGGTCGCCAAACCTATCTCCTATCATCCTTGAACCTGCAACGATTTGAGGTGTGACCCCTTTTACCGCAATAAAAACAAGACATACTATTAGAATTTTCATAGTCTTTTTCTGCTTTGATTTTGTTCCTACATTGGTTAGTATTATGGCCATTTTTACCACAAAAGGAACATGCATGAAATTTCTTCTATTGTGATGAACAGTCTGATTAGATTTGACTGAACTATGACTAGTGGATTTTTGCAATCCATTCAATTGAAGTTGAAGTTCATTAACTTCTTCCTATAGCGTATCACGTTCAATTGCACAAATTTCTAGCTTCAGGGCCCACTCTTTCTTTTTTGTTTGAATCTTTCTAAGTTCATTTAGAACTCTTTCAATATCTGTAAGAGCAATATCAATAAATTCTTGAAGTTTATAATAATTAGGGCAATTGGAGGGATGTACCTCACTAGTTCCCTCGTCTGCCATGAGACCAAGTTGATCTGAGTCTTCTTCTTTATCTGGTCCTTTGTTTCCTGAGAATCCACGTTCTCCTGATTCTTCATTATTATCATCTTTGTCACAACCCCAGTTCGCTCTCCGTGAACTATCGTGATAGCACCTACTCTCTACGACTAGGTAAGCCTAACAATTTGCGGAAAAAGGAAAACAACAGATAAAAACTAATAGAAAATGCAGATAAACATAATGAAAAAGTTTAAGATGTCTCTCGGCATATACAAATACACACTTTCAACTGAAAAGATCTCCCAAAACCCAGAATCTCATGAAATCACAAGCTATGGATACTACATAATGCTCTAACTCCAAAATGTCTAAATCAAAGTAAATACAGAAGGGCTGTAACTACAAGAAAGAATGGAGAGGGATTCCTCGGTCTGCAGACGCGGAAGATATACCTCAAAGTCTCTTAAGAATCGCCTCGTCTCAAGGATGGTAGGGCTGAGCCAAAGAACTTGGATCTGCACATTAAAAACATGCACAGGAAGGGCATGAGTACACCACAATGGTACTTAGTAAGTGCCAAGCCTAACCTCGGTCGGGTAGTGATAAGGAAAGTCAAGGCCCTACTGATTATAGGTGAGAAACAAGGTAAAACAGTATAGAATACGACAATATAATTAAAGCGCTAATAGTCTATATCAGATAAAAACACAGAAAGAATCTAACTCAGTATACAGAAATATCCACAAGGGATCTCCCGGGATACTGTCCAGTAGTCTCAAACGCAAATGTGCAAGGGAACTCCCGGAATACTAAATCCATAGTCCCAAAGTAAATATCCAGTATGGGGAATCTACCGGGTGTTGTCCCGTAGTCCCAATCTTAAATGTGCAGGGGGGTCTACTGGAATACTAATCGTAGTCCCAAAGTAAACAAGCAGGGGGATCTCCTGGGATATCGTCTCGTAGTCCCAAAGTAAACATACATCAGCAACACAAAAAATATTCAATTAAATCAAATTTCATACCGAGGTAAAACGGGTATTTCTAACCTAGCATGCTGCACAGAATTCAAATAAAGAAGTTTAAACAAGTAAAGGTATTTAATCACTTAGACATGCTTTCCTAAACTACCTGTAGGCTTAAATTGCAGGTAATTTACAACAAGGAAAAGAAACACAATTATAGTTACTTAATGAAAACAGGATTTTCAACAATTAGCACATGTACGCACTCGTCACCTCACGTACAAGGCATTTCATATATCAATAATACAAAATCCTAAGGGGAGTTCCCTCACACAAGGTTAGTCAAGCTACTTACCTCGAACCAGCTCAATCAACTTGAAATCACATTCTTGCCATGAGTACCCGACTCCAAATGGCCCAAATTTATTCAAATCAATTACATAATGTAAATATAGCCTCAAGTAACTAATTCCACTAATAAATTCGAAGCTAACACGCGAAATTAAGAAAATTGCCCAAAATGTCCCCGGGGCCCGCATCTCGGAATCGGGTAAAAGTTATGGATTATGAACCCCCATTCACTCACGAGTTCACTCATACTAAAATTATCCAAATCCGGTGTCAAATTCCCAATCAAAACTCGAAATCTTAGTTGATGAACTCTATTCTATTTTTCCTAATTTTTCGCCTCAAATCCGAAATTAAATGATAAAATTAATGATATTAGTAGGATATACCCAAAATAAAGTGTAGAATCATTACCCAATTGATATATCTGAAAATTCCCCAAAATCTCGTTCAAATCTGAGCCCCCAAACTATAGTTTTGATAAAAATGGCTAAACCCTCGATTTTGAAATTTATAATCTGCCCAGGTGATTCCTTCTTCGCGAATGTGGAGGGCGTTCGTGAAGCATAACTTCGCTTGGCCCAGAATTCCTTCATTGCGAACACGATGACCCTATCGCGAACGCGGTGGCAACTCTCTCCCTCCGACGCCAACTCGGGACCTTCTTCGCGAATGCGTAGGCATATGACATCTCAACTTCGCAAACGCGGGACCATCATCGTGAACGCGAAGCGTTAAGCTTTTACCTTCCCCAGCTCCTCTTCGCGAATGCGAGACCCCACTCGTGAATGCGAAAAAGGAAACCAGAACTGGAGACCTGCTGCAATTTCTGCAATTTTCCTCTTGAGTCTAAAGGTCCGTTAAGCATCCAAAACACACCTGAGGCC